TTCTTTGGTTCTTGGCTTGTCTATTAAATACATAAATTGTGCTCAGGAACCAATTTTAAAAAATGACATATCCTTTTGCAAGTCCTGGTCCCCATATGTGAGCTTACATAAGTAAATCGCATTAGAAAAAAATAGAATAGTGAAAATATGTTTCAATATAGTATTAAAATGATGGCAAATGATAGTTTAAAATCAGGTGTGATTCACTTAATAATTATTTGCTTAGAAACAGAAATTCTGGTCCAAATTATGCATCTACGTTGAGGACTACCTGTAAAAAAATATCAATATACAGTATTAATACCTTTAGAATTATCCACAATCTTAATCTTATAAGAAGTAAAGAAATTGAGCAAACCACACTCCAAACAATATACCATGTCATGTCTTTATTGAACATATTGAGCCAATGATCACCATCTGATGGAATTCCCCAATTCCATCAGCTGGTACCTGTTTCTGAAGCAATAAATTCAGTTGAATGTTTCTTGAATTTGTTGATCAATACTGCACATTGGTTTGGAAGGATTTTGATGCATTCCTCTTTAAGATATTTTTGAGCTGTCTTGTATGAATTACTTCGGTTTTGCCATAACATTTTACTTGGACTAAGGTCAGAACATTAAAAAAAAATGAAATGTCTTTTGCTTCAGCCATTTGGTTATAAATTTACTTGTTAGTTCTCCTGTTACCTTATTCACATTTATTTAAGCTGCCCCTCACAAATACCTTGACATTCTCCTATGGAATTTGCTGACTCCATTGTTCCCTGAATGATTAGGAGTTCCCCAGATCCTGAGGCAATTATTCGCATTGTCCTGCTTTTGCTGGAACACAGTGTTCATTAGATAGATGGATGGGTGGATGGATGGATGGATGGATGGATGGATGGATGCTTTTTTAACCTCTCTGAATGTTAAGACGGACTTAGACCAGTGATGGCAAACCTTTTTGGTACAAATTGCCCAAACCAGAGTGCCAAAAACCTGACATCCAGCTGGCTGGTGCACATGTGCGTGTCGGAAATCCGACGTCCAGTTAGCTGAGCTCAGGCAATGGCCCGCATGCCCACAGAGGGGGCGCCACCTCTATACCTTCATATAGCTTCGTAGAGCCGAGGTGGCGCAGTGGTTAGGGTGCAGTACTGCAGGCCACTTCAGCTGACTGTTATCTGCAGTTCAGCGGTTCTAATCTCANACCATTTTGGTGAAGGGGCGGGGCTTTGGAGGCAAAAAAATGCTGTATTTGGTGTATAAGACGCACCTAGATTTTCAGCCTCTTTTTTGAGGAAAAACGGTGCGTCTTATACTCCGAAAAATATGGTATTTAGTTGTGTGTCCCCCCCACCCCCACTCCGGAAACATATTGCGGTATTATGGCTTTCAGATTTGGTCAGAATAGAAGCTAAACAACACAAAGCTAAATTTTAATAAGCATGGGATACTTTTTCTTAAACTTTGATTGTCAGCAAGCTGCATGTTCTAAAACTGATGTTTTCTTATTCTGTCTATAAATAGGATTTGTGGTTGAAACTCTAGTTGCTAGCATTCTTTCATTATGGCTTACAATTTTCTACAGTAAAAATAAGTTACCAGGTGTTTTTCTAGTCCTGTCTTGACAGCTGAAGCTAGGCAGAATGTCTTTACATGCACATGTAAAGGAACACGAGAACACGAGATACGAAAATATGACGGGCCAAAGATGATGTGAAATTGTCAGAATGGAAAGTTTAAAAAAAAGGGTTTGCATATTTTAGGAATAAATGAGCTTAAAGTGCAATGGAACATTTCAGTTTAGATAATTGCACAGTATACTCTCTGTGCCTGAGACCACAGAAAGAAATAGAAATAATTGTTGTATCTCAATAAATAAGATCATGCCATTACAACTAGTGGGTATAAAATGAATATTACTCTTTACCATAAGACTTGATAAATCATTTAGCAAATTGTATGAGGTGCTAAGTGGAATATCAAGGAAGGACATTGTATTGTTAATGGGCTTCCCAGCAGTAAAATATGATATATGAACAGTTAGAGAGTGAAAAATAGCCCATAATGAAATTATAAATTCAAAATTGATTCCTAACAGCATTGTAGATTGCAAGAAGAGCCAGTCAGTCAGTCCTGGATAAGAGGCCCTTAAGATAGTGATCAGCAAATATAAAATTACATATTCTACCTATTTGAAGTGCATGGATGATTATTTAGAAAAATAAGTACAATGCTTATG